GGGTCCAGCGTCCCTTACACTGACTGAAAATTTGAAATTATCTGGAACATAGTAGTGAGGAGTTCCTGAGGAGTTCCTGCCGGCATTGATTACCCATGCCCCTACTGTCATTGTTTGAGTGGAAAGGTCCTTGTTGTAGCCTTGAGCACTGGCCAGATTTAGAATAAAGGGATTTGTGGACCGTTTTCCTGAGAAAGGAACAATGCAAACAGTGCCAAACACATTATTGTATTCATCGGCTTCAGTCCGGATTCGAACGCATGTTGTCTTGCCTACCGACCTCCTCTGCCACATGCAGCAGGTGGGACCTCCTCAGCCACATGCAACAGGTGGTTCAATCATTCTTGCAAGGAATATGAACCAAGCTGTCACGGCGTAGCCAAATGACACCCTCTAAAAAAAGAAAAGAAGAAAAAAAAAAATGACACCCTCTTTCCCTGGCGTTACCCCCTCTCGCTCCACCCGGCACCTCTCTGCACAACTTCTCCTCCGCTAGACCGTCAGTCTCCCACGGTGGGCCCTGCACCTCCTTGGCCACTCTCTGCAGAACTCACTTGAGGTCGCTTCAGACGAGAGTCCCAATCTGCGTCCCATCCCTGGCCCATCGGTGTCCCATCTGTCTCATGTCTGTGTCACATTCGTATCCCGTCCGTGCCCCGTGCCATCTCATCTGTATCACGTCCATGTTCCCTGACAGTGTGTGTCCCACCCTCGTTCCATCCGTGTCCCATCTGTCGTTGTTAAGCATCTCCCGAGTTTCGTCTACCTTCTTTTGTCCCCACCAAAACAAGGCCGGTCATCATGAACGTATGTAACCCTGTTCCGGTCCAAATGCGGTCATGATGCTGCAAAAAGATGGCAACTTGGGAAAAACCTGTGCCAGCTGTGGATGTCCCACAATCAGGCTGCTGTCATCCTTATTACCTTGGAATGAATAATATGGGCCCAAAAAGGGGCTGCTGCGTCCTCCAGAGAAAGACACCTTTTAAACCACCCAAAAAAAAAAAAAAAAAAACGAAAAAAAAAAAAAAAGGCACCAGTACACCGGGGGCTGGCGGCGCCTTCCACTGCACGTCAAGCTTTTCCGAACTGCCAGAGGCGCACTTTTTTTTTTTTGGCTGGCTCTGCCGGCGATTGTGGTCTGGTAGCCCTCAGCCTCCGGAAGTTTCATAGGTGATGGAAGATATCTCCGCAAGGCTGGGGCCGGTTCAAATCTGAAGCACACAGAGAAGGTTATTTAGCATGGCCCCTGTGCATCCAATGAGACAGGGGCAAATAGAGAAATTGTCCAGAAACAGGGGGGCAGTTATGAGGGAAAAAAAGTTAACAAAGAAACTGGACTGCAGTGCAGTGCAGACCTGTCCACATTGCTGAGAACAGGAGCATGGTCATCATTGCTGTGTATCTGGTCTTGGAATAGGTTTCTATTAACTTTCTAACTTTCTATTCAGGGGGAAGACTTTTCTTTCCCAGAGTAAAGACATGGTCTTTATTTATTTAGAGAAAACTACCGCGCAGTCAGGGTTTGAGTTTGAAAATGCACTTGAGTTGAGGCAAAAGGGACGGTAAATTATGGTGAACCTATATAACCTAGGTTTCCGGTCCGGTGGGGTCACATGGGGGGGTGTTGTGTTGGCCCGATTGCCTGAAGTGCATTTTCAAACTCTTTTCGTAACAAAAAAAAAAAAAAAAAAAAAAAAAAAAAAAAAACCTTTTTTTTTTTTTTTTTAAAAAAAAAAAAAAATATATTTTTTTT